TGTGTTTGTGTGTGTGTGTGGGGAAGGATATTCCAAGTCACCGCTATGAAAGTGTCAGATTGTCCCAAAAAGAAGCTCAGTCACAGGTACTGTCCGAGTGTACCCTCTGTAAGAGGGTGTAGTACAGCAGGGATTCTGACAGCGTTCAGGTGGGGGTGTTCAGGGTGACACAGCACCCGTCTTCCCCACTGCCCCTCCATGAAAGGGTCTCACTGACTCACTGACTGACTGACTGACTGGGGGCTACTGGTTGGAGCAGAACCGTCACTCCACCCGCCTCCGCTTCCCCACTTTCCCTCACCTCCATCTACGCCACCGTGTGTGCCCACGAGACAGGGTGGAGGTTCTGGGTCTCCACCGAGCTCGGCGGGGACTAGATGGGTCCCTCGTTGTGGGCGCTGTGGTTGCTCCTGCTGAGGCCCACACAGTTCTGCTGCTGGTTGAGCAGGTGGGACGTCTCATTGGCCACGACTACAGACACGGCGGGGGTGGTGCTAGTGGTGCTGGCTGTAGTTGTGACGACGGTGGGGGTCTCCACTCCGTCATGGAGCTCCGTCAGCGTGAGCTCGATCTTAGTGAACTCACTGTCTGTCGATTGGGGCGTTTTGTCCATCCGTGACGCCATTACGGCATTCTGGTACTGTTGGCGTGTTACCTAGGGAACAGAGAAGATGGTGTCAGAGGGTTGTGATTTTTAGAGCTCAAAAGGCGTTTTTATAACCTCTTTTATATTGCTTCTGAAAACCTATTTTTATCATAAGCCTTCTTTATAACCTTATTCAATTTGGGTTCATTTGTCCATGTGTGTATTTGTGTGTGTGTGCAGGTTGGTTTATGTGACACATATGTAACATGTATTTTATCAATACAACAGGCTTCAGAGTGTCACACAAATTAGTTAGTGGGTGTAATGGGTGTCTACATGAGGAACCATCTAGTTAAAACAAGATACAAACTGGTAAAACAGTTTTATTTTAATATAAAATTCTCAAATCAGCATTAATTGAGTTCTATTGGCCACAATATTGAGATACTAATAATCAATTGCCTAATAACCCTATGCTAGAATCTTCAGGAGCTCAGTAACCAGCAGCTTCTATAGCAGCATCCATATGTCTGTATTAAACATGCATACTGGTCAAAACACCAATGTTATTTAGGCACATGTGAGACTCAGTGTGCCTTCCTTGCTCACCTTTATAAACTGCAGGTCTGAACGGGCTCTGACTGAGTAGTCAGGTACGTAGATCTGCAGGAAGGAGTTGAGCTGGTTGTTGCTGCTGCCGAGAGTCGGGGTGATGGCGTCAATACGATCACTCCTGTTCAGAGAGTCTGAGTGGTTGAGTCCAAACGGCCGTGGAGGAGATTTATTTTCTGTAAGGAGGTAATGTGAAAGAATACATTTAAACTCCCCAAAAACATATGAAAGACCAAGTCTAGATAAAGAGCAACATACAGTATATTACATAAGAGTTATATAATGTTTCTTTCACACATTTGATCCCCTGACCAGCACTAACAGCAGGAAAGTTTTAATTTATAGTGTGAAAAATATCTCAACATATTGTTTGACAACGAATTGTGTACAGACATTGGTGGTTACCATGTAATAAACTGCACTGGATTTGTTGATCCTCTTTCTTTTACTCTAGCGCCACCATGAGGTTCAAATCAGGTTCAGCTGTACTTTGATATTAGTGCTAAAAAGCTAATGCTAGCATACTAACATAACATACTAAACTAAGACTGTGAACATGGTAAACATTTGCACACAAACACTTCTTCGCATCAGCATGTTAGCATTGTCACTGTGAGCATGTTAGCATGCTGAAGTTAGTATTTAGCTCAAAGCAGCAATGTGGCTAAGTGCAGCCTCACAAGAGACGCTAGCGTGCCGGTAGACTTGTTAATAGACAGAGGTGCCAGTGGTCAATCCTTATTGCTCTAATCTAATACACCTTTAAATCTGTATGACAGTTGCTATTGATCAGTATTGTTGTTTTGTCCAGTTAGGGGCTCTCTACATACACATGTATTGCGTATATGTTTGTATATTGCAGCTTTTGATAGCTACAGAGGAAAAAACTCTTGCGGGGGAATTTGCTCTAACTCACAATGTTCTCTGAAACTACTTGAGCTGCTCAACAGCTTCATCAGCACTTAGGATCCTGTGTATTGGTGACATTTTTTTCAGGTCAAGTGTTAGATATTAGCACAGACGCTTGCTGTGATGTATGGAAATCTAATTTCTACATAAGTCTTTAGGTGAGGGGAGTTTCATACAACAGGTATTGAGTCAGTGGTCTCCAGTGATGCTGCTTCCTCCTATGTGCTACCACATAGAAGACTTGTTCTGGGTTTTTTTGTTATTTCTTTTTAAATTTTTAATTAAAGCCAGATTATGTTTTCCACTTCTTAAAGAAGCCTAGTGAAAATCACACACAACAAAGTGGAAACGGCTTGGCCAACGCTAATGCTACTACGCAGACTGGAATGTATGTAATCCCATGTAGGAATATGTGTGTGAGTTTGTGTATGTGTGTGTGTGCGTGCGTGCTTGTGTGCGGACCAAGCGCAGTGGGCCAAAGACCTGGCATGTGAACCCTTGTGGATTAGTACTCCACTTTCTAGGGGCCGTAGGGGCCAGATCAATACAGAAAACGGCGGTGTGGGTCTAGAATACACACATAATGCATTTATGTAGACACACACTCAAACATGTGTGCAGCGGGGGGCCAAAGTGGGTGAAAAAAACATGTCAAGAGGTGCACTGTAGGTCATCGCTAAAAAGAGAAAGAGAGTGTATTTGTTCAACTGTATTTCCGTATACATGTGGGTGTGTTTGTGTTTGTGGCAGCATGTTTGTAGTTGTGTGTGTGGAGTGTGTGTGCTCTGTGTACGTGTGCCTGTGCATGTGGAACATATGTGTATGTGTGTGTCTTTGTATGTGCGCTCAGTGGTGTCCAGCAGGGGGCTGTAGCTGTAGGTCTTGTTTATGTAGTCAGAGGGTTAAAGGTTAGGGGCGAGTGGGGCGGAGCCTGGGTCCGCTTTGGGGCCTCCAGTCTCCAACACCATTCAGCCACTTGACTAATGGCTCAGGGGATGAGGGTGTTAAGTCTCAGTCTGAATCTGTTTTTCCTCTCTGTGTCTTTCTCCTTCACTTACACATGCATGAATATACAGTACATGGTGCATTCAGGTACAAACAGACTTTCAGGCATGCACCCATCAGTCACAAAGTCACGCAAAACAAAACAAAAAACAGGCCACTGTATTGACAGAACAGGCCACTGTACCTGGAGATCCTGCTAGTGATTCAGCCCTACTGACCACAAATGTACGAGACAGGGACAGAGGGACTTGGGGGAGCGAGGGAGAATACAAGAGGGGAAGAAAAGAAAGAAGAGAGTCTGTCAAAGTGGAGAAATAATCAATGCATATACACAAATAGTAAACGTGGATTAAACCTACTAGGGAAGCTTAAGCAACACTTGTGTAACCCCAACAGGAAGGAACTGCCAATCAGCTTCACTGCTACTGAGCAGCATAACATGAAGTCAGAGAAAATGCACCACTGGTACACCATCATGTCCAATCATAATGTATCTGATTTGTGACTGCTGATTGCCTACACATAGGCCAGAACGGTCATTCTGCTGTTTCACCAGTAGGTGTCTCTCAGATCCCACCACCCATGTGAATCACAATGGTTGAAAAAGGGCTGAGAATAGTACTGTAGTTTATGAATGAACTGAGAGGACTGAGCGGATCAGTAGGTGACGCTTTCTCATGATGTCACTGCAGGACGGCCTCGTCAGTCCTACAATCATTGTTCATAAACATTCATCGAAGGAAATGTATGCTATTAATCAAAGAAAGTCCTAAACTGATCTGTACTTTGTTACTGACACAAATCACAGGGAGGACAATTTAGAGGCAGATGTGGACCATTTAAAAGGATTTAGGATGCGGAGTTGACACTGGTTTCACATTTGTTTTCACCAATACATTGCTAGTGAGGTGAACTTGCATATGGCTGCTAAAATCTTACATCAAGCAATGTGTAATGGTCTTGAAGTTAGAGCAAAGAAATATGTGATAAAGTACAATGAGATTGTTTGTGACTGGGGGAATACTAGTGTTGATATGATTTTAAAAACAATACTTTTCTCTTTTTCCATTGAACACAGTCCTCAAAGGTTGAAGTTTACAGTCTAATATTAGGATTTAATCCAAATTGTCTGAGCAAAGAAGGAATAAAAAGGAGTCTGAATCCGAGCGTTCAAGCCAGCTTTTGGTACTTGGCACTATAGATGCATTTCAGTCAAAATAAAAAAAGCAGGTAAGCTTTGTGTCTTATTTGTGACTTATTTTTATTGGAAATAAGCAACAGCAGATGTCAACATGAATGGCCTAGAACACCTCCACACAAAACTGCATTTGTATGGTTTACTCAAGAATAAGTAATGTTTAAATTAGCTGGGGATTTTCTGAACATTAAAAGGGACACAAGTCTTTGGTGAAACACTCCAATGAATTATTTTACTTTGGCAAACACCAGCTGTCAGAGATCTTACCTGGCGAGGCTGTCAGAGCCATCATCCCATAGAAGGAGAACGGCCCCGCTTCAAACTTCATCCCCTCTTTTCCTGCCTCCACCTCCACTTTCCCCTGTGACAGCAACATCCACAGATGACAAGGAACAAAGTGTTACTCAAACATACTTTAATGTTTTTTTACAAAGCACTACCCTTCAAACACAACTTTGTCCCTATGTTAAACCAAGACTCATCTTTTGTAGTTTGCATTTTTTGAATATTTTAGCCATCCTTTCAGACTGTACATAGGTTATGACACTAACACTAACCCTTTCTAATTAATTATAAATTGCACTGTATTTCTGTATGGAGCATTAGTACCGTTTCTTAGCTCGGATTTCCGCTACAGCTTTGCAGTTACACTTTCACCCTATTCAAAATCTGCCACTTTCCTGCTCAAATATATTTATTCATCCTGCCCCTGAGTTTAGAACAAATCCCTCCCCCCAAACACCCCACCCTCTTTCCATTCCTTTTTACTACATGTAGAAAATCTGTACTCTGTTTAATAGCTCCCAATCTGCTCCTAAAACCTGGTCTCAAGGGCAGTGACCCCACACATGTGCATTCCAAATACTGATTTTAACTCCATCTATGTTTACATGTGCATTATCCTGTTTTTGATTACATCCAGGTTGGGACTTCCCTTGACCTCAAGTCGTTTTAAAGACCTGATACTCTCCCTAACACCAAAGAGGAGGACTCTATGTTGACACCAGCAACGTATTCAGAGACAGAGCAGACGTTCAGACCAGTTTTCAAACTGTAAGGCTACTTGAAGGTCAGCAGCACTTGTTTTCATCCGCTTTTGAATAAATAATTGTAACTCTATAGCACGATTTCTGTCTGCAGAGAGAGGATGGCAGGGAGGAAAGCAGAGGGATGGGTATACAGTACCACTACTGATATACTACTGTCTTTACATTTTGAAGTACAGTATAGTGGCAGGACATCTGGTTTATTTATGACTTGAAAACAGTGAAATACATACATTATATTTCACTGATTCTATTTGTGGTTTATAGTATGTATTAAAACTGGCAAAAGTGTTCAATCACAGTACAGAATTTTCTTTATACTGACCACATTTTTATTATATTTTGAAGTGTTGTATCTCTTGGGCCAGACATTTATATTACTAATAAGATGTTTATCTGTGGTATTGTTGTTTGCTTTAATCCAAAGTGCCCTGCAGTGCAATCATACCATGCATACCTTTTTAGGATGCGTGGCCCCTGTGGGAACAAACCTGCAGTACAGCTGCGTTAGATGGATGACTGTACTGTGAAAAACTGTAGGACAGAGGAAAACAATAGCTTGTAGTACTAACAGCAGCATGTCTCTGTCTTAAATGTGTTTAGCGTAATGTATCGTGTAGTGTAGTCTGGTTAGGGTACAAATACTGTTGTCCTTTAATAAGTGACAGAAATTTACATTTTTTAAATGTCACTAGCAGAGTGCAGACAGGGGTCCGCTGTTGGTCATTACTTTGGAGCAAACCTCTCGATATGTCATTCTGCACCTCACTGTGTCCACACACCTGCAGTATGAGGATGAAATAATCCACGGGCTTGTTCCTGTGGAAGAGGTAGTGCTCTGCTGCTCGCTTGTTCTTCTCATCGTATTTCAGCTCCTGGATGACGTTGGGGTGCTTCAACAAGCGCAGCAGAATCTTTTCTGACATTTGTACCGGTGCAAACGGCTCGACCTCTGAAGAAACACACAGGGACAGAGAGGGAGACATTAATTACAGCCCAACCAATACTAGATTTTAGGGCTGATAAATACAGTGATATATTAGCCAATGGTCATTTTTTATGATTATAAATGACATATTTTTTAATTTCTGGAGTGTTGGTTAGACATTAAAGGTGTCACCTGTGCTTACACTATAATTTTGTTGGACATTTTTCACTCATTTCTGTAACTTTATAAACTTAATATCTAATCAACAAAACAGGCCTCATGAACCACTGTTCAAACAGATTTGTTCCTAAGAGGCAGGATGAGCGATTTGAGAGAATTTGTGGCATTCACTTATTTTCTCATGCTAGAACTTCCTCTTTTGCCAAACAAAATTCGAGATCTTTTTCAGACATGTCGTGTAAGTCACGTATAGATTTGTGGAAAACACACTCATTTGACTTCAGAATTATAATGTCTTAATCTGAATGCCTGCAAAGTTTAAATGTGTTACACAAATCAACTAGAATAAAAATAAATAACCAGAATTAACCTATGCAAAATCAATATTCTGTTCACCACATTATCGCTATAAGGGTTTGTTAAATTACTGGGAGATTTTTTCTTTCCTTCTTTTTTCTGGCATACTTTTGCATGGCAACTGCAGCTTTCCCCGTCTAGTATGTTAGTGACTGTCACTGCCTCCCATCTAAGCCACGGACCACTTTGCTTTAGAAAGATGTTTAATAGGATCTTACTTAATGTCGAACCGTTTACTCTTTATTACTGTTACTGCTAATGATACACGGCTGACAGCTGTTACCTAATATTAATATTGTTTCAATACTGTTGTTTTCAGATCTTCTAATACGGCTACAGACACTGCTACACTTGTGCACTTGAAGCTTGGCAGTGTAAAATTCCTCTTTTTTGGGAATGAAACTTGCCCACAAACACAGTGAAACATATAGTTTTATATGTAAATTTTAGGGGCATTGATTTCGCCAATGATGAAATCTCACGATCACTGACATGATTCATCGGATTGAAACAAGTAATTTACTTTGTGCAGTTAAGAGAGTTTGGTGAGTCGACCGGGAAAACCTCATGTGAGCAAACCTAAGGTTTAGTATAAGAATATGAAAATGTTCTTGCATGAGGTCCAAAATGTCTCTCCGCATTGTAAATTCACTATTGTTAGTATAGCCTGTATATATGTCTGTATATATGACTCCTATTACAAGTCTGTTCTGAAACAGGGATTCCTCCTCTGTTGCTCTTCCTAAGGTTTAAATACCCATTAAAGTTTATTTTCCTTACCCAAATTCTAAGGAAAGATGGTATTTTATGTTGTAATGATTGTAATAAATATTTGAGGAATATTTGTGTATTTGTGATTTCAGGATATATAAATAAAATCAACTTGACATGACAACATAAAAAATATCCAATATTTAGTTGCAGACCTAGTTTTAAGCTTTTACTGAATTTGTCTGAGTGAACATACAAACCTGACTAAAAAGTCCTTTGTAAATTTTAAACACTGTATCCAGATTGTAACTGGTCTGCTTCAACCACCTAATGGGCCAATCAGCTCCTTCACCTCAGCGGCGGTGATATGTGTCAGCTGGCTGCTGGCTCCACCACCAGGAACTAAACTCCCTAATAGCCTTTAGAGGAACTTAATCAACGCTTAGCTGCTAGGTCAAAGTTCTAAAGCAAATCCATCTGCAATGAGGCTATAGTCAACTACTACTGCTGCTGCTGCTGTAGTAGCACTTGGATATTCTGCAGCCTGTTCAGAAATCCATTTCCCAAGGGAAAGCGGGTGAAATATTTCACATTTTACACTAAGTATGTCGACTTGTGTGAGAACCCCGATCATAGGCCAAAAATGCTGGACGTGATGTCACTGAGGAACGAGAGTAAGCAAACAGGGTGGTGTTTTTAAAGCTGTGAGCTAAGATCCCAACATGTAACCTTCAGTGCATGACACGCAAGCAAATAGACGCCTGCGTTTTTTTTTGGGATCTGCGCGCAGTCTGCACAGACATCCCGTGCCGCGCTCCCGAGAGGCCTTCCACCTCTTCACAAAAAAAAAAAACCACACACACACACACGCAAACCGACACCCTTGTTGTGAGTCCTCACACAGCTCATTCCCTCACACACAAACAGCAGATACTCATTCTACACACATACTCACTCCTCCCTACAACCACTTGCCCAAAACTCAAAGCCAATACGGGCACATGCACACACACAAACAACTCACACACACACCTTCCCCACAGTGAGGGGCTGAGGGCACACTGGGGGAAGTCAAGCAGCAACGCAGCCCACTTGCCTGTTGCTAGGAAACGCAGGGTAGCCAGCAGAAGCTGAGGTGATATTTTAACCTTCATTTCATTGTCGGTAGGCTTGAAGGCCGAGAAATCCTGCTTCCTTTCCCGATGGGTGATTTTCTTCTTTGTCTTGTTGTCAGCTGAGGAGGGAAAATGAAAGTTGAGCGTAAGACACAAACGAAAACTTTTTGTGCAACAGGAAAAAGACGATCCACGCCCCTCCGCAGATATTGAGCGAGTCCCCGGGTCGCAGGGTGACTAAACTTGAGTTACCCAAAGCTTATTGCTTTTTCTGGAAATGTAGCTGTGGTGTTCTTCTCAGAACTAAAAGAGAGCTATAGGGGGCTACACTGTTAACTTACCACATTCTTAGCATTACTTGAAGCCATATGTATGAGGCAACAAATAGACTGGCATGTACTCCATGTCTGCAGGCCTGTAAGGATGCCATTAGAGGAGGAACAGTATAGTCAGCTCATGGTCTGGTATGTTACATGAAAGAGGGTTTACAGTGTACCAGGGAAGAAACTTTTAAGAAGTAAAACACATTCTGACTGTAGAAAATGATTCATTCCTCCCTGGGTGTAAAATGTGAACAAAAACAAATAGTATTATGTTGTAGGTAAGACAAATAAGATAATCTCTTAAATGACAAATATAAAGCAATTATTTATCTACAAAGACCTGAAGAGTAAAAACATCAAGTAGTATTTCATATTCTTTAAACCTTAACTAAAACATTGTCACATAAACTGATTTTTTTAGACATTTTTATTTTTTACATAAACAAGGATCTCCTTGTAATGTGAAAGGAGTCACTCACAGAGATCAACCCAACATTCCCCTGGTCTCTTCCTCATTTTAGCATCTTTCAGCTCATTGTTTTGGTTTTCCCATCTGCAACTTTACTGTCTTTGTTCAGTGATTTCAGTGACAAATCTATAAAAGCCAACTGTACGCTACCTGCTCAGCCTCCAACGGCCTACAGGCAAATTTACTGACTAGCTGGTGAACATTTAGTTCACCTGAGGAGGCACGTATTTTCCCAGGAGAGCTAACCAGAGCTACAAAGAGAGATAATATTGGATTACATTTGTCAAGTGGACACAAACTCCAGTGTTAATAGAGCACTAAAAACTAAAGCAGCATTTATTGATTGTTTTCTTTTCCACTTGGGACAATGGAACAAGCGCTAAATGCAACACTGACAGATATATTTTAAGTTGTTATGGTTAATGTGTTAGCAATCAGTTTCTTGTTTACACCTACAGCTAATTTGCTAAATGCTCCACTATGTTCACCAGCTAGCCACTAACTTTGGGGGCTGTTTGGTGCTGAGCAGGTAGTGTGCAGTCAGTTTATCAGAGCTTTCTCACTGAAAGCTGCCTGCTGCATCTGGAAACGGTGTTGATTGAGGCAGAATCTGAGGGCAATAGAACCAAAACAATATCCTGAAAGAAGCTTAAACACTCCACAGAGCTGAGGACAGGGGTCAGGTGATTATTCTCTGTGGGTTCATCACTACAAGCTACACTTTTCACATTACGTGCATTTGATCTTTTGTTAATAGAAAAATAGTGATTAGTGCAGCTTTAATTATGGACTTTAATTTGCATTTAATATATGCAAACAACAACATACAGAGATTAAGCATTAACAACTGATCAGATTTAGTTAAAAGGTAAATACATTTCCAGCTCCAAAATGCCTTTTCTCACTTATTTATAACATGATAAATTGTACCTGAACATACTGTTTGTACACACCTAGATACCATAAACCATTTGTTAATGGCCAAACAGCACTAGTGATTATTTCAGAGCACCTGCAAGTTTACAAAAAAGCGTGGTTATATATAGTTAGACCTACATTAGGTTGGTTTCAGTGGTCACAGTCTGACAGAGTTATTAAATACAGCCCATCTGCTGGGTTTGGATCAATTTATACGTTGTGGATTTTTAGCGCTTACTGTGACTGTACTGTGACAGGCTGGAGATGCCTTGCAGTCTTATAGAGGTATGAGCTTTGAGAGGAGAACCTACTGTACAAGTCTGTCTCGTCCAGGATCTCTGACTTGATGATTTCTTCAATAACGTCCTCCAGGGTGACAATACCCAGAACCTCGTAGAAAGGGTCTCCCTCGCCCTCATTGTTCACCCTCTGAACTATGGCCAGGTGGGACTTTCCTAGCAAAACATACATGCACACACAGACACACAAACATGGGTTATAAAGTTAGGGTCATATAATGATAAAGAGAAGTAAATATAGGTCAGGCAGTGACGGGGGTAAAAGGGAACAAACAGGCGGGGACACAAAGGACTATTTCCATTTTGATACATTTTTATAGTATATCAAGTTAACATGTATCACAGACAGAATACTTTTAACGTGGTATTTTATACTGTGAAATAGGAACAATAAATCACTCATGTCAAACAGTGTTGTACACTGTGCACTCAGGCTGCAGTATGTATTACAGCAGTCTGGCAATCCAGATCACACACAGAGCAAGTAACACAAAGTGATATGAAGGAGTAACTACTCTCCATATCAGTTAAACAACCAGGGATGCAGGACATGGCAGATGAAGTGTTAACAGTGTCAGCAGAGACTCAAACCACCAGAGAGACAGACAGACTGACAGTCTAACACTCCTAAATTTCATCAGGAGTCCCCTTAGCCCTCCCCCCTCCACATCTGTGTTCCCAGGACCCTCCTGTGAGCCGTACCATCTGAAAAAAAGAAGAAACAAACTGCCGTGTATGCAGAGAACACTGTCAAGCAAAACGCTAAACAAATTCTTTGCCTTTTCTCAGCTTGTGATCATTTAAAAGGAATTTTCCAGAGGCCCAGGCTAATATTAGCCCCTGCAAAATGAAGTTTCCATTCCGCCCCGGCGATATTCTCACCGAGCGAAGGAACAGACCGGGCGAAGCCTCCGCTGTGTGATCAGATTGTCTCGAAATGGGCCGTTTGCATGCAGATACACCTGGGTGTAAATAATGGAGGACATCAGTGTGGTTGTGTGTATGTGTGCATGCACGTGTGTCAGAGTGCACGGGTGTATGGGTGCACAAACGTGTGTGTTTATTTTTGGAGAACACCGGTACATCACTGAGTCAGTGCTCAGATGCTGTTTCAGCTAATGTTAGCTGCTTTGGTGCAGGCAAGTACAGACTGAGGGATGATCAAGAGTGTTTTATTGCACTGCAGCTCACAGCTTCCTCACAACACTGTGGCAGCACACTGATGTGCTTCATACAGAGCCGGAGAGTCTGAATGTGAGAATGTTGTGAGCATTAGATGCAAAATTGATGCTTTCAAGAAATATACTCAGGTTACACATAATAGGCTGGAAGGGTAAGATCCCCAAAGAGAGGTATTAATAATGTAAACACCAGAAATCCACCATTACAAAGAGTCTGCAAATGCCAGGCAACATTCAAGTCTTATTTTCAAAGCATCCAAAACAGCAGAGTCTTCATATTTGTATTAAGATGTCAATGATATCTTAAGCGTGTCTCTTTATCACTGAGGGAAAGGCTTAACTAGGACAAGCACAAATGGAGCCTCAGTGGGTTACGGCAATCAGGCCTCAGAAGTCCTTGAGCAAGCAATTACTCTGAACTGCCCAGAGAGGGAAAGACAAATGGAGTGGCCAGCACAGCACAGTGAAACCGATCAATGCTCACTTCCTTCTCTTTAGTGGCATCCATTCCACTCATGTCAGGTTTATAAACTAGGAACAGAATACCGATCTGAACTTCAATATTGAAAGTGTGAACTGAAATTAAAATGGTTTGTTTTCAGCACAGATCAACTTTTTTTTTGTAGAAATTAACACCAATTCTCTTCCTTACTTAGTTACATGATATCTCTGTATGGTAAATATTAGGGATGCACCGAATATTCGGCCACCGAAAATACTTTTATCACCGAAACAACACGGCCAAAACAGAAAGTTGTGTTGACGCAAACAAAAACTGCGGCCAGCA